TTAGTTATACTTAGTTTATAAGGTTTATAATTGATTTGGCGTTTGGTGATATTTTTATTCCAAAAGAATTTTTATTTTTATTTATTGGCGTTAGTAATTTTTTAAAAAGAAAGTATCATATTATATAGCTTGAATTTTATTTAAACTAAAGAATCTAAAGAAAGACAAAAGAATCTAATTTATAAATAAATAATATAACACAACAAGAGAATTTGTTGGTGAATATTAACAATAAAACTTTAAATTACAACAAGAAAAGTACTGTGTTAAGTTAATTAATTAATTAATTAATTTCAAAAGAAAAAAAAAACAACGTTAGGGCTTCACATTTTCCATTTATTAAGCAAAAAGGTCTTTAACGTTCTATCATTTTTGGTGGATTTTAAGTATAAGTCTTCAGTTTCACTTTCAAATACCCCCAGAAAAAATAAATAAATCCACCTCCTCTGTACATATACATATTAAGTGACACTTAAACACTAACCAAAATCACATTTCTCTAAGCATTAAAAATTAAAGTCCAGACTGAAAGCAATTTGCGCGGCAGTGCGTCATAAACATCGGTCCCCTGCTACTGTCCCTGTCTCTATGCCTGCTCTTGTTGCTTTTGTGTAGAAATAACTTTGAAATTTCAAACAATTTTCAAACAAAAGAATCTGCATTATAAAGGAAAAATTTGGTTTTAAAAACAATAAAAACAATAAAAAAAATGAAAACAAAAGTCTTTGAATGGTGTCAAAACAACACTGGCAGTTATTTTGTCTGTCGCTACTACTGGTTCCGAAAAGACTGGTTACTGGAGCTAGAATGTGAAAATGGGCCAAGATTAATTGTTTCAGAGAAATAAAAATAGAATATAAAAATAGAAAATAAAAATGAAAAATCAAAATAGAAAAACTATAAAAAGAGCAAATTAAAAATTAAATTTCGTATAAACGGAAATTTTTACTAACAAGTTTAAGATTACAATGAAATTCTTTTAAATCTAATTTTTTTTTATTTAAAATTTAATTATATTTATTTTTAAGGAAGTAAATACTTTAGATAACTATCTAACTAAGATTTTCTTTATTTTGTAATTAAGTTTAGATTAAAAAATATATTTCAATGATTAATACAGACAGACAATGAGAGCGTTGCATTGAAATTGGTTTCCCCCGTTGCGTTAATTATTTAATTAAATAATTACTGGTGCCTATTCATCATCTGGAGAAGAGGTCTTGGTAACCAAGTGACATAACAACATACTGTTAACAACGACATACATTTCCAAAAAAAGTATTTTGTTGCTGCTACGTTTACTATATCACTCTATTCCTAAACTCATGGTTCTAGATCATGACTACTCCAAAATTTTCAAAAACGAAAGTTAAATGTTCTTATTCCGAAATAAATATTACATTAATTTTAACATAAATTCAAAACTAATACCAGTTCTACTTAAGAACCGTGAAATCTATATGTTGATCCACTTGCAATGGATTGTAGTCAGTTTTAAAACCTCTTGAAAACCATCGCGAGCCTAATTAATATTTCTAAATTATTTCAAAAATCACTATTTCTATTTAGCAATAAAGATTCAAGCTGGTTTTAAACCTTTAAGTTTATTACTTATACGGTAAAACAATGGGCCAATAAGCCTCGGTGAATCCCTTTGGATGCCGGTACAACCTAATCTAACCCATATAACAACAAACAAATATTTATGACAAAATGAAACAACTGGTCTAAGTAAATCTATAGAATCAGAATAGTATCCAAATCGAACAAATTCTACTTTGTATTTGTAATAATGAACAAAACACTTAAAATATCGTTAACATATTAAAATGTTGATAAATATTTTGTTCGTATTAAAATTTAATATAATATATATTTACTCAAAAATAATAATATATAATTTTCAAATCTATACCTGGAATTTCAGGCTTTTCAAATCGATAATTTTCAGTTTCTTAGACTAAAAATATAATATATATTTACTTAATATAATATATATTTACTCAAAAATAATAATATATAATTTTCAAATCTGTACGTGGAATTTCAGGCTTTTCAAATCGATAATTTTCAATTTCTTAGACTGAAAATATAGTCTTCAAATTTTTGTTAAAAAAAAAAAGATATTGTAATATCTACAGTTTGAATAGGATTGAATCACAAATGTTTGTCATTAACAGACTGCTGCATACTTTTAGGTAAAATTTGAAATATACATCTGTGTAGCTTAAGCGCTGAATGAGTTATGCTATAAGAATTCAGCTTTTTACCTTTTAGAAAACAACGTACTCTATTTTTAGTACCGAAGTAATTACAAGGTAAACGTAAGAACCAATTGAATTTTATTTTCTTATGATAAACATAGAAGTAATTCTATATCCGCTGATTCAAACATAGAACAATTATATCATTATGAGTCATGAAGAGCATTTCATGATGAATGGAACATTCAGAAACATTCAAAACAGTCTTTTTTACCATATGGAAAATCCTCAAATTATTGAAAAAGTACTGGTCTCTGCGTTCACTCAATATAACACCGCTAGGCTTTTTTTTCTGGCCAGAAAGACAACATTACAGTAATTCAACATCAGCCAGGAAGACGCAGTCATAGCGGCGATCGAAAATCGCAAATGCTTAAAAACGGGCACATTACGTCATTTGACCTAAAGTCTAATATTCAGGACATAATATTATACTACAATAATATAATTCGAATCGAATTATATTGAATTAGATGGAACGATGAGCTGTATGAGCTATACCGCGACATTGACATAGTTAAGCGCATAAAAATTCAGCGGATACGCTGGCTTGGTCATGTCGTGCGAATGGAAGAAAGTGCTCCGGCTAGAAAGGTATTTGATTCGATACCCGCAGGTGGAAAACGCGGTAAAGCACGTCCGCATCTTCGGTGAAAAGACCAGATGACCAACGATTTGGGGGCGCTCGGTACTACCAACTGGCATCAGAAAGCAACTAATCGGGCTCACTGGCGGAGGCTACTCGACGCGGTCAAGGACGACCCACGTCTGTAATGGCCAACTAAGTAAGTAAGTAATAATATAATTTAATATTCAGAAAGTATTGCAATCACATTATCAATGAGTAGTGATTGTTATTTCACCATTTATCTACCCAAATTGTTTACTGAACTTTTTTCGCCACCTTGAGTAGAAACACTAGGGATTCAACTACGCTTTTATAGATTTCCTTATATATAAATATAGAGTCAATTATCAGGGATGTTCTTAAATATTTGAATTTGAATGAAATAATAAATACAAATCTTTTTCATACGAATTCTTATATTTATGTACATAATATTAGGTGGTTTAAAAAGTATCTGCCATTTTTTGTAAACTGTTGGCGTCAGTACCCATATATTTGGGAACACTAATTCGATTATATCAAACAAACACTTGTTTGAAAGGTTGTTGAAAGGTACTGTTGGAGTCAGTACCCATATATTTGGGAACATAATCTGATTATACCAAACAAACACTTGTTTGAAAGGTGATATCATTAGTTTATTGTGATGGCAGTTTATTAATCCATCGTTTGTGTGAAAAATTATTTTGATTTCACAATAATTGAAATATCGGAATATATATTCTATGTGATAATAATTAAAATAATTACAACAATAATACTATATATATTGGATAGGTGTCATATACAAGGTGAGATGAAAAAACTGCAACCAACTTCAGACTGCTGTCATTTCTAAACCGCTCGTCCCACAGCTGTCAGATTTATTCTAGTGACAGCTCATTATATTGTTTACAAGCGCACAAAAGCATTTTGGTGGGAATTTTTCAAAAAAAAAGTTATTTGTGATGGAATTCAAGCGTGATAGTGTGATTGCTTTGCATTTGGCTGGAAAACCACAAGTGGCTATCGTTAGAGCCCTCCAGCATTTAGAAGTGAATAAATGTTTTGTGTCTCGTACCATCGCTCGTTACCATGATACTGGTAGCGTAGCCCGACGTCAAGGAAGTGGACGAAAAAAAACAGCAACATCGGCAGAAATGGTTCGAAAAGTGAAAAAGCGAATTGAACGAAATCCGCGTCGCAGTGGACGAAAAATGGCTCGTGAGCTGAACATATCGCAATATGCCATTCGGCAAATATTGAAAAATGAGCTTGGACTAAAGCCATTCAAGTTCCAAAAAGTGCAAGATCTTACTGATGCGCAAAAAAAAGTTAGACTCGAAAAAGCTAAAGAGTTGTTTCGCTTGGCCGAAAGTGGTGAACTGCCGAATTTGGTTTTCTCCGATGAGAAACCATTCGTTATCCAGCAGTTTGTAAACAAACAAAATGATCGTGTTTACTTGCCAGAGAGGTCAGCTGAAAATTTGCAACTTCGGTTGGCCATCACAACTCAAAAGCCGGCCATGGTGATGGTGTGGGCCGCCATAACAGCCGATGGTCGCTCGCCGCTCGTATTCATCGACCGTGGTGTCAAATTAAATGCGCAAATCTATCGCGAAAATATTTTGGAGGGAGTTCTGAAGCCCTGGGCACGCAAACATTTCGGCCGCAGACCTTGGACATTCCAACAGGACTCAGCACCATCGCACTCAGCACGCGCCATCCAAGAATGGTTAAGAAATGAGGTTCCTCGCTTCATTTCCACCGCACAATGGCCACCAAAATCTCCGGATGCCAATCCGTTGGACTATTGTGCCTGGGGTATTTTGGAAAGCAAGGTTGGAACTAAAAAATACCAAAGTGTCGATCATCTCAAGCAAGCGCTTCGCCGAGAATGGGACAAAATACCGCAGAGCCACTTTCGGGCCAAAGGTGGCCAATTCGAACAAATCTAAACCGATTCTCAAATTTGATGTTATTTCCGACATTTTTTGCTTTCATTCAATAAAATTTAAAAAAAATGAAAAAATTATGGCATTTTACTTTGTTGCAGTTTTTTCATCTCACCTTGTAGATATAAAGTATATCGAAAATTATTGTAAAAATCATATATCTTCTCAACATACCTGATATTTTTTGATACTATCCAATTGTTCTAATGTTGGTTCCACAATTTGTGCAATTTGCTGCGGTTGCGCATTGTTTCCCATGCGTCGATCGGGCAATTGTGGCGGCGCTGGTGAACGATGATTAACCAAGCGACCATCTTTTTCGACACGCAAATGATCGCGTGGAGGTGGCACTGGTTTTACGGAACCATTTAACTATAGTAAAATATTTAAAATATATTTTAAAATAATTTTCATTTATGATATACACAAAAAAAAAGGATAATTGAAAGCAATATAATTTTCACAAATTATTTACAAGGATTTGTGTATAGTTTAGCGTATTTGTGTTTTACAGTGTAATATATGAAATAAATGATTATGTTTAAGTTACATATAGATAGTTTCAAGCCAATTGTTAGTAATAGTTTTTATTATTTACAACAGTTAGAATAAATTTTATTAGTAATTTTTCTTTTAAGTTCACAAAAACATCTCTCATATCTCAAAAATATGAATACAAAAATTCTTAGGCGGTCGATGAGAAAAGATACTGTGCTTTAATTTTGTTGAAAAAAAAATAAATAAATTTAAAATAATTTGTATTTAAAATGAAACTGCAAAACTTCAAAATTATAAAACGCAACCACAAAACTTAATAAAATTAAATACTTTAATGTGGTAAAATTCCTTTTACTCCCCAACCTCACTAGTTTGGTCATATAATTTTTCAATTTAGTGCTTGTGTGAAGCCTTTATGTAAAGAATGCCATTTACTTTATTGAATTTTGCTGCACTGCCTGAACCTCAACCTGTGCCTGAGTCTGATCCTGTACCAGACTCGATAAATGCGCCGTTGTAAATCTTGGTTTGTTTTCATTGAGAATGCGTGGCTTTTCTCACTTGAATGCGTCCGAAATGAAATTTTTTAAATGGTTTCCATTGGATTGCAATTCACAACTCTGCGCTTATAGATTATTCATTGATTGGCTGCAATTTGTTTTCAATTTGTATGCAGAGCAACCTTTCAGATAAGATTGAATGGCAAGGCAAGTACTTGTAAGTTCACTTACAGTTTTTAATTTAATGAAAATATTTACAAAAGCAAAATTTAATGGACTTTTCAAGCATTTCGGACATTTAAGTTTATTAAAAATCACTGCTCTTTTCACACAACAAACTATTTTTTTTGCGATTTTTAAAAAAAAGAATTAATAATTTATGTATTTTCGTTTTGCAACGTTAAAAAGCATATAAAACCCATACAAAAAAAATTATATAAAAAAACGAGTATATAAAAAAATTTAAACTGCCGGGATAGATTAATCTTTTCACATATTCACAGCAAGCGGATTTCAATTCAATTATTTGTGTATAAAATTAAATAAAATTTAAGATTGTTATCCTTATGGATAGGGTAGGCTTTGCTGAAATGGGAGCCTAGTACAGTAAAACCCACTTAAGCTCAAATATTGGCCCTTAATAGATACGTAGTACAATGAACCACTGATACTCTATCACTGCAAGCAATATAAGTAGTGTCAAAGTGATGACCCAGTTAATTAGAAGTTTTAATTTTAAAAATTAAAATGTCTTTAAAACCTTTTAGTGCTTAAAAATCTAAAGTTAAATATCATCAAGAGGGGCTTAAAAAATGGAGTGCAAACACTGCTAAGATATATTGTTAAAGATATTCTTTAATGACATTTTGGGCATCACTTTCAGTTTATCAAGTAAAACAGAGAAAAGTGTGTAGTCTCTCTTAGTTTGTCAGAAAATATAAATGGAAGACTTTGATCACCTTTAATTTATCGGGAAAGATAGAGAGGAGAGTGTGACTCTTTGCAGTTTATCAAAAAATATAGAGAAAAGTGTGATCGCTTTTAGTTTTTCAAAAAAGAGAGAGAGATGCATCTTATCTCCTTATCGAGAAAAGTAGAGAGAAGATTCCTTCCCCCTTGTAGTCCCTTTCGGTTTATCAGAAAAGTAAGAGAGAAGAATGCGATCACTTTCAGTTGATCAGAAAAGCTACAGAATAAAGTGCAATCCCTTTTAGGCATTTAGAAATAGGATAAAGAGAAGATGTAATTTCTTATGAAGGAAAGTAGAGAGAAGATCTTTTTCTCCTTGTAATCCCTTTTATTTTCTTAGAAAAGTTTTAGAGAAGACTGATTTCTTTAAATTAATAGCTTTAGTTTTTTGTTATGATAAAAAGGAGAATAAAAACGCATTTTAGCAGCTATATATATATGTATCTTGAAATCGTACATTGATTGTAAGATTTCAAGAGTATATTAAACAAAACCTATCATTAAATAATCAAGCGAATTTTGTCTTTAACCCAATTGAAACCTTTATCAAATTCATTAAAGAACAGAATGGTTTTTCAAATATCGAAGAGGGATAAAAGTCCTTATGTATATCCTATCACAATGGTATTGGAATAACTTACAAGACAATTCAGGCAAAGATAGTAAAAAATCTTTCGAAAGGTAGAACAAAAGACAGTTTGAAAGATTTTTGCTTTTCTGACACAAAAGTCTTTTAGTTAAAATTATAACTATTATCATTTATTATTATTATCATTTATTACATATCATTTGTATTATCATTTGTAATTCGTGGTAAGAAACTGTTTAGTGCTATTGCTTCCGTGTTGAAATCGAAAACAGTTGTTAATCTTTTTTTTTCGTCTTTTAAAAGACATAAAAAAGCTTTTAAGACAACTGCCGAAATATAAAACATCTTTCGAAGAACGAAAAAGGACCCAAGTCGTTGTCTATTTCGGCTAATCCTTCACTTCAGTGAGGACACTTGTTACATGGTGAGATATCCTAATGTCCCACATTATACTATATATAGGTCATTAATTTAACACATAAGACTTAAAAATGTTTTTTTAAATAGAAATTTAAACTTATAAATTTCAGTTAAATATTTAATTTTATTTTAATTTTTATAAAAAACTATTTGAATTTTTTTTCTGGAGAATTTCTTTGGTACTCTAAAAATGCAAATAATCATTTATCAGAATTTAATAAAAATATTTATGGCAGTAACAAGAAATTAATTTATATAGGTTATATATAATTATATTATATATATTATATATTTATATATTATATAAATCTGTCTAGATTTATATTTTCACAATCAAGAATTAATAGAATCTAGATTTCTCTATTATATGCGTTTTATAGAAATCCTTTATCTCAAGATACTAATGTAGAGATTTAATATTTATAGATACTTCAGTAAATTTATTCAGTAAGAAAAATATTTAATATTCTATCACTAGGGATAATTGGCGTAACTGCTTATCTCAGTAATTGTGATATATATTAAAAAATTATTTGAATTTTATATTTAATAATTCATAAAATGCTCAGGTTTCTTCTGCTATTGTCGTTGTCATTGTCATTGTCATTGTCCTATTAAAACAATCTTAAATATTTCCTTCTTCAGCACCTACTCTTTTGAGTCAACTCCGGCGATTACGTTGAAATGTGCGGATTTCGCTCAACGTTCTCAACAATTCGTTCGTGACGCACTTAAATGTAATTAAAAGTAATTAAATTCCTTTTTGAAAAGTGCATTTGTGACTTTCAAATTTATGCTGATGAAAGTATTAAGGACTTATGAGCAAAACTTTCTTTACTTTTACTTACGTTTTTCAACGCACAGTTTTCATTTTTATTTTTTTTTTTCGTCTTATTTTTACTTTTATTTGAAATGACGTGACAATGAAAATTAATTTTCTCTTTTACTAACAAATAAAATAGAAAGACGATGAAATTATAAAAAATAGTTGGCAAAATATAAGAAAATGACGATGATGATGAAAAGCTAAGCCAACGAGAAAGGAAATTTGCAAAGGAAAAAAATTAATAAAAATTTGCATATTAAATTTTAACACAACAAAAAAAAAGTATATAAAATCTTTCTTTTGCATATCCGAAAAAAGTACAACAGCGTAGCTTTTTAATGCTCAATTAAAATTCCATGTTAATCCATATGCTGCAGCATATGGACTTCGTCTTGTGGCGTTGTAAAATGCCAAAAATGGGTCAACTCTCTGGTGTGCCCGCTGCAGTTACATAGTCGCTTATACAGTCAGTTGCATACTAAACAGCGCGTAAGCGTTATCACGGACGGTAGGAAGTCTTGCTGTTACCCATGGAGCTGCACAGATCTTACATATACGTATGTGAATAAATGCTGTTGCATTCGAAATATCCACGAATTATTGCAACATGCAATCTACAGCATACCAACTTCCTAACATGTGTGCCACATTTTATTTAAGTGCCAATTTCGCTTGTTGCAATTTAATTTTTAATTTCGTTGGCTTACCAAACTGACTTGCCCAACACTACTTACTGCTTTTCCCCCTTATAAGCAAACTTCCTGTCTACCGTATATTGCCTGCCTGCTGACTGCCTATCTGTTATAAATAAGCCACGGTATAAGCAATAAACAGTTCAACAACATATATTTAGTTGAGAGAAAAAAAAAACTGATTTGTTTAAAAAAAAAACCCAATTCTAAATATTTGTTGTTGCTTTGTAGAATGTGACTCACTTAAATCTATCCATACCCATCTACCCATACTTATCTACATCTACAATTTAACAGGATTTATGTGGCATAGGCAACTGTTATGCATGCATACATACTCTACACTGTGAAAAATGTACTGAAATTCTAGTATTTACACATATGTGTACAATATTTAGTTACGAGTATTTAGTTTTCTACTCGCTGAAATTATTATGATTTTAATTTCCGGTTTTTGGGAAATAATTTTCTATTCATGTTGCATTTCTCTTAATTATTTTCACAGGAAAAGTAGCAAAATTTATAATTAAATTTTAAAAATATGCATTTCTCAATTGAGTATCTTCAGTTCAAATGTGTTAAATGCACTTGCATATGTGGAGCAAACAATTTATCTAATAAGATTTACGAGTTAACTACTTAAGAAGTTGTTGCTTGGAAAAGTATAGAAAGTTGTTGGGGATTTATTTAACTACGATATTTTAATATGAAGAGAGTTTCTGTGCATGAACACCTCTACGTACTCTACTGTGTAGGTAAAGATTTTCAAAAGCGTTTAAATAGCATAAATAAAAGCAGGTGCAATAAAAAAGTGCTTCAACAAATCACTAAGGCATAAGTGCAGCATGGAATGCAGCTAAAGAAAACTGTTTTCTATG